GGCCAAATTTTTTTTTTTTTTTTTCCTGGTTTTAGTGTTCGGGCACGTAGGCACACGTGTCCGAAGCCCAACGCACGAATTCCGTTTTTCGGAATTCGACGCGACACCCTTTTTTTTGCGTTTAACGCGATTTAACGGGGGTCGGGGGCCCTTTAAACGGATGAACGCGCGTTCAATTTTTCGTGTTCTCCGTTAAAAAGATACACATCCCTCGACGTATTCTCAAACTTTAAATAGGTAAGATTTCGGGGTTGCTTAAGCGAACCCCGAGGATGAATCAAAGCTCCAAGTGGGCCATTTTTGGTAAGCAGAACTGGCGATGCGGGATGAACCGAAAGTCGAGCTACGGTGGTCATGGAAGTCGAAATCCGCTAAGGAGTGTGTAACAACTCACCTGCCGAATCAATCAGCCCCGAAAATGGATGGCGCTGAAGCGCGCGACCTATGCTCGTCCGTCGCGACAATTCTGACGCCGAGACAAGTAGGAGGGCGCGGGGCATGCTGCGAAGCCTGGAGCGTGAGCCTAGGTGAAGCGGGTCCCGGTGCAGATCTTGGTGGTAGTAGCAAATATTCAAATGAGAACTTTGAAGACCGAAGTTAAGAAGGGTTCCATGTGAACAGCGCTTGGACATGGGTCAGTCGGCCCTAAGAGATGTGGAAACCTTGTATCAAGGGCGCACTGCGCGCCGCACATCGAAAGGGGGTCGGGTTAATATTCCCGAACCGGGTTTTGGAGGTGGACGGTAACGTAAGCAGCTCCGGAGATGCCGGCGGGGGCCGTGGGGAGGGTTCTCTTTCCTTCTTGACGGCTCGCCCACCCTGGAATCGGATCAACCGGAGATAGGGTGCAGCGCCCGACAAAGCACCGCGCGTCCTGTGGTGTCCAGCACGCCCCCGACATCCCTTGAAAATCTGGAGCTGCGGGTGTCTCTCACGCCCGGCCCTACTCATAACCGCATCAGGTCTCCTAGGTGAGYAGCCTCTGGTCAAAGGAAGAATGTAGGTAAGGGAAGTCGGCAATATGGATCCGTAACCTTGGGAAAAGGATTGGCTCTGAGGGCTGGGCCTAGGGGTTTGGGCCTCGATGTCGTTGGCTGCCGGTGGTCTGCCCGAGCTGCTCTCGCGGCGAGGGCAGAGACCGCGTGCCAGTGTGCCGAGGGGCGTAGGATGTCTTTTATCCCCACCTTTCGGGTGGGGCCGTGGGACTCTCCCTAAGCATCAAACTGCCGACTCARAACTGGTGCGGACAAGGGGAATCCGACTGTTTAATTAAAACAAAGCATTGYGATGGTCCCAACGGATGTTGACGCAATGTGATTTCTGCCCTATGCTCTGAATGTCAAAGTGAAGAGATTCAACCAAGCGTAGGTAAATGGCGGGAGTAACTATGACTCTCTTATGGTAGCCAAATGCCTCGTTATCTAATTACTGATGCGCATGACTGGAATAACGAGATTCCCACTGTCCCTATCTACCATCCTGCGAAACCACAGCCAGGGGAACGGGCTTGGAAGAATCGGCGGGGAAAGAAGACCATGTTGAGCTTGACTCTAGTTCGACTCTCTGAAATGACTTGAGAGGTGTAGAATGAGTGGGACCCTTACGGCGCAAGTGAAATACCACTACTTTTAACGTTATTTTACTTATTTCGTGAGGTGGAGCCRGGGCTCTGCCCCTGCTTCTCGATCCAAGGTGCAGGCCCTAATGGCCTGTCCGATCCAAGCGAAAGACATTGTAAGGTGGGGAGCTTGGCTGGGGTGGCACATCTCTTAGAAGATAACGCAGGTGTTCTAAGATGAGCTCAAATCTCGTGTGGAGCAAAAGGGCAAAAGCTCATTTGATTTTGATTTCCATGCGAATACAAACTGTGAGAGGATGGCCTATCGATCCTTTAGCGTTTCAGGACTTGAAGCTAGAGGTGTCAGAAAAGTTACCACACGGATAACTGGCTTGTGGCAGCCAAGCGTTCATAGCGACGTTGCTTTTTGACCCTTCGATGTCGGCTCTTCCTATCATTGTGAAGTAGAATTGACCTAGTGTTGGATTGTTCACCCACTAACAGGGAACGTGAGCTGGGCTTAGACCGTCGTGAGACAGGTTAGTTTTACCCTACTGATGCACCGTCGTCGCAATGGTAATCCAACCCAGTACGAGAGGAACCGTTGGTTCGCACTATTGGCAATTGTGCTTGGCTGAAAAGCCAGCGGTGCAAAGCTACCGTGCGTGGGATTATGACTGAACGCCTCTAAGTCAGAATCTGTGCTTGCAGCGACGGCGTATGCCTCCTCGGATGACACAACGTTGTCGATAGGGCCAGCGGGTCGGGCCCCGAAAGCATAAGTTCGGAGTTGTCCCTCCTGCGGCCGAGAACCGACGCCTTGGGGGTCTCTTCATCGCAATTTCTTTCGCTCGGGGAGTCAAACCCTTTGCAGACGACTTAGACAGGGAACGGGGTGTTGTAAGCAGTAGAGTGGCCTTGTCGTCACGATTTCTTGAGATTCGGCCCTTTGTTCCAAAGGTTTCCCCCACCTTCTGGCTCCCCACCCCTCCTCAAATGTTTGAACGAGGGTCATCTGCGTCTGAAGAGAGCCGTCGCCCTTGTA